AACGCAGGGTAACGCATTGGGCCGAGATAATCGCATTGGCCCCGGCATGGTTCAAGACAACATGCCGGGGCCCTCAACAAGTTCTGCTATTAATAAAAATTGGAGACGTCGACGATAGAACATTCGTGTACAAATTTATCTCACTTTAGGACATTTTCAGAGTATACCTGCCACTCACAAGAGCACTTATCGCAAACCATTAGCATTCAAATCTGTTGAGACTCCATTAGCCAATCAGAAACCAGGCGTGTAACAACATAATCGATTTGTGTTATAGAGGTGTTCCTGGTTCTCATTCTCCACGACCCAGCCAGCCCCTTTGCGCCCTTCAAAGGACGACTGTTTGTGAGGGCGCGAGCACCGGTGGAGGACGTTGCAGCCGAAGAACCTCAGGACACCACGAACCAATCAGACGCGTCCAAATGACCCCCCCCGCGTTGGCAGTGAACGCTTCGCGGCGCACCTGCATGTTGGAAACGTCAGCATTCCTCCAAATTCCTACACTCTTGAAAAAATGTCTATTATTATTTTTTTGAGAATTTGCTTTTTCTGTGTTGGCACCAGGCTGCATTGGTGGTTGGTTAGTTGACTCAACGCGCATATCGTGCAGACATCCACTTCAAATTTTTCTAATTGGCGCCTCAGAAAGTCACGTTAGACAGGAGTCAGTGAAACATTTCAAGGCTAACTACAACTTTGGCGAATATGCCATTCCACACACACGCCCTTGTGGTCATGCGAAAACACAATAGACCGCTCTGTGGATGTCCGCAGCCTTGTTAACAACATGTTAGTCATTGGTTGTGCATAAATTAAATTGGCAAAATAAAATCATTTGAAAGGGCAAAGTGTGGGATTGTAGGAAGGGGGGGGAATTCAGAGGCCTTGTGTCAACGAGTCGATCCTGTCGCAACTAAAATGGGAAGACACGAGTAACACCACACGCGACGAAACCGCGGACACACAAAATAAACACGGAGAGCCGCCGTGACGACAGCACGTCCAATTTTTGCCCTGGTGGCACGGTGAATTTAGAGATGCCCACGGTCTTCTACCTACTGATTGCCCAATGTAGCGGTAAATGGAGTCACGTGGGTCGGTTTTGCGTCGCTAGGACCCGCAAAATTTGAACAACGTCTATGAGATACTTTCCCCGTAACCATGGAAATTCAAGACCTGATGCGGTCCAACGCAATTAGGAGTGATTTTCGACGGGCGAGAAAAGTATCCACTGAAAGAACACCAAATAACTCTACTGATACAAAACCGGGGATTACACTAAAATGATTAAAATGCGATTTAGGAGAGTTCTCCGTAGGAGTATGAGGGAGCATTAGAGCGCCCGGGATCAGCAACCCACTCGGCTTTTGGTCGGCACATGACGGTGATTCTGCGATCGCGGATCACAGGTCCGTGGCCGGGGTACTCGGTGCCGCTGGGGAGGATGGCGTGGGTGAGGCGGTATCGCGTGACACCACGCATGATGTAGAGCATGCGACGACGCACCAGGACGTCGGTGGAGGCGCCGGGGGCTGGGAGGTGGATGCCCGGACGACTGGCGGGGAGGAGTTCGGTGGGAGGAGAGACCTCGGCCAGGTCGGCGACGCTGAAGCGAGCCACGCTGTCGGCTAGGAGGGAGAGCACCGCGACGAGACCGCCGCAATACTACAACAACAGCAAACAATAGCCGTCGAATTGGGGCTGCGTACGGGAGGAAGAGGTGTATCCGATGGTTCCCTTACTCTAATACTATCAACATGAGGCTTGATCCATCCGGTCGGGGCCAGATCAAGAACGTGGATGCAAGGTAGGAGGTCGTCGAAGCTGGAGGCTTTGGGAACACCCTCGGGACGCGGCTCTTCCTTCAACACGTCCAGGGTTTTCTGACGCAAACGATCGATAACAGGCCGATTCACGGTTCTCCAGTTTTTCCGCTCAGTCTCACGAAAGTCCTGTATTGCCTAAAATGCAACAGGCAAGGCAACCAATCAAATTCAACAATCGAACAAGTGTTTAGTCAACCTGGACAACTGGCTGGATTTAACAACGACTCATCAGCTCAGATAAGCATACAGAATCATGCAAACCGTTAATGGTAGCTAGCAAAATAAAACTCCAACTAACGTCGTCCCAGTGTGCGGTTTGGTACCGGCTTCGTAAAAGCACAGAGTCAACTTCAGAAACTAGATTCTTCTCTTCGTCTTCCGTGATAAAATCCGGAATTGTGATTAGTTCTTCGCTGACAAGACGTTTGATGAAGTCGTCTTGAAACTCCACCGGTCTCTGCTTTGATTCGGCTACTCTATCTACTTTGGAAGACAGCAGACGGTGTGCTAGCGGGGCTAGGGATTTGACCAGTTTGGGCCGCAGGTTTGACAAAACAGCCAACATATTTACACTATCTAAAGAGGAAATAGGCTGAATTACTCGAGCTATCCACCAACGTTACGTAAATATGCTGACCAGAGCCAGCTTCGCTTAGCGTATCTGAGGGGGAAGTGGTTTTGAGAAAGAAGAGGAACGTTTTTTGAAAGAAAGTGAGCAGTCGAAACGCCAAGGTGGGAGGACGAATCAAGGTAAACTCAAATAGACGTGGAGACAAGAATAGACAGCCAGGCGTGAAAGCACCTGGCTACAATGGATTCAAGGTAAGTACGTTTACATAAATATGGTGGCGATAGTGGCTCCAGTCGTGGACAATACTTCGAAATTAATGACAGGACTACCAGCGAAAAACAGAGGTAGAAGGAGGTAACACAGAATAACATTGGAAGAACTCATCACTAACCCATAATACATCCTTGTGTTGTCGATTGTTAAGCTAATGCGTCCTAAAAAGACCAGCTTAAATTCCCAACCATAAGCAGTTAACAAATAACCCATAATCTATGTAATTGATGTATTAAAAAAATTAAAACAGCAGACTTTTAAGCGTTGCAGAAAACTATAGCAAACACGGATTACCAGTCTCTATCGATGTAGTCAAATTAATACATTCTCGAATAACTTTACCAACGACATACGTTAGAGGATAGTGTGTGTGGTGGTGTGGTGTGGCGTCGGATCGGGGCGCAGACATGTTGGACCACCTGGCCTCAGCCAATCCCGTGTCTCTCTGCGATCCAATGGCATGCGGGAAAGGAAGGCAGCCAACCAGAGAAGGACACGGATGAGATGCAGTATATAATGATCGGCGTGGCCAGCGTGGTGGACTCGGATGGAAGGCGCCTGACGTGTGGCTCTGGCTTCTGATTGGTCAATAAAGCCTGTTCTGTTGTACCGGTCTTTTTCTTATTAGGGCTCGGGTATTCTACAGTGGCGTTGGATCGGGGCGCAGACATGTTGGACCACCTGGCCTCAGCCAATCCCGTGTCTCTCTGCGATCCAATGGCATGCGGGAAAGGAAGGCAGCCAACCAGAGAAGGACACGGATGAGATGCAGTATATAATGATCGGCGTGGCCAGCGTGGTGGACTCGGATGGAAGGCGCCTGACGTGTGGCTCTGGTTTCTGATTGGTCAATAAAGCCTGTTCTGTTGTACCGGTCTTTTTACCTATTAGGGCTCGGGTATTCTACAGTGGCGTTGGATCAGGGCGCAGACATGTTGGACCACCTGGCCGCAGCCAATCCTGTGTCCCTCTGCGTTCCAATGACATGCGACGAAGATAGGCAGCCAACCAGAGACGGACGCGTTTGGTAGATGGTATATTATGACCGATGTATTCAGCTCGGATGGACGGTGCCTGATGTGTATTCTTCGCTTATCAATAAGGCCTGTTTTATTGTTCCAGTATTCTTCATAGTAAAGAACTGCTCGGGTTTTCTACATAGTTAAAGAACTGCTATTTCAGTGCTTTAAGAGGGCGCAATCATATTTGATCAAGCCGAGCTCAGCCGATCGGGTATTCTACAAGACAACATAAAATGCATTGCGGTAATCTATTGGACTCGAATGGGCCGTGCCGAGCTGGACAACAAAGTTGTTTAACGAGCAATGTACCTGCGGTGGACGACGTGACCTTCCTGCAAGTCAACAGGAGCAATTATTATTCGTCTACTACTCACTTGAGCTACCCTCCTGCCAGGTGTGGTTTATCGTAAAGTGTCGAACTGGAACATTCATAATATGCATTCAGTATAATAATATAAGGAATTAAACTAAAGGGCAGTCTCTCTTTTGACGGTGAGTTAATGCAGTGTCCTACAAGGGTGCAGACATATTTGATCACGCTGAACTTAGTAAGTCCAAAAAATGAGCAGTATGGATGATAAGCGCCATACAATAGACGGTTGCGGCTTCTGTATCTGCAGTACAGCTTTCCAATTTGTGTCTTTTTAATTTTTCCTTCGGCTTAGGTAATTTATACACTGTCTATAAAGAAGATCAATAGCCAAATGTAATCAAAGATGGACGAAAAATGCGTGCATTATGGATGACCTTGCCAGGCCTATAACATTCAGCAGAAAAAGCAATTATTGCTTAAACCAACCCAGATTTCTTTTAAACATTCTTGCTATGTTTATCAAGTTTATTTTCATGCATAGCTGTGTGGCGAACAGCAAGCGAGCACAGTTAGCATTCGTGAACGGACACGATTTAATCAATTTTTTGTGAATGCACTGTAGTGGACAGACAGCTACCGCAGGCGAGTGGTGCGTGCATGCTTGCCCGACAGTACAAATGACTCACTCTTTTTGCCATTGGCCCCTGCTAGCAGTCACCTCTTACGCAAGAGTATCGATGCACACACAAAAATGTCTGGGCTGTTGTGATGCTAATCAACCGGTCATGTTCTCAGGCTCCTCTTTTCAGCTTCTTCTCGGGTTGTTACGGGCTGTTAACTAGAAAGTTGTGAGGTAGTGCTAAATTTGGCTACTACAGATGTGTAGGACACGTGTTATTGACAAGAGTCCATTAAAATTTCAAGGACGAGTGAACTTACTTTTTATCATAAGATATTTGCAATTGTAAAAATAGTTTATAGGTGCGCGAATGGAGCTGTACCGAGTTTTATTATAGAAATGCACAGCTGTATTAATACTACAAACAGTCGGAAAATTATTTGTTTAGATAGGGCATGTTTAACGGTTTTCATTTTGTCCGGCGCGTGTTTTAGAGACAAAGTTTTGCACTGACGGTCACCTGATTGGAAATCTAATGCTATGCCTCCGATTGAAATGCATAATAAAACACTAGTGATATTTGGGTTGTGATAACAACAGTTGAAATGTACCTAACCGCTTAACAAAACATCATAAGGACGAATTTTTTTGGCTGCTTTCTTATGATAGTTTATTAGATGCGGGATACTTTCCCCACAAACATCTTGGCCTGGAAAAGCAGAATCCTTAGTCCGATTCCAAACATCTTCCGGTACTATTTTTTTGAAATGTTTACTGACAGTCCCATACGCATTTTTTTCTTTGATATGTTTGATTACCAGTACTTATATAAATAAAAGGTTAGAAAACGTCTACTCTGGTGAATACACTTGCCCTGCTATATCTATTTAAATTTCAGTCTTTAACGAGCACTTGGTTAGTGTAATATACTCGATTTTTTAAACAGTTATTTCATTTAGGGGAAAAAATAATGTTACGCTGTTTGTTTTTGACGGAATTTTTAAAGTACGTCGTTATTGAATTTCACAATCCAGGAAAAATTTTGTTACAAGTGGACGAGAGCACGGTGGAAAGAAATTGAGAATTGCAATTGCATGCCTGCACCCACCATGTCTTTAAAAATAAATAAGAGGATGCTAAGAAGTGAACGTTTGCTGCATTTTGTGCTAATAAATTAACCTATGTAAGATATTTGAGGCGTTAGTGAGTAGAAAGACTCGAAAATATTCTTGCTACTCGTGTACAATTAGTAGTGTACTTGCCGTGACTTTAGCATGTATGTTCCGACAATGTCGTTGAGAGTTCAACTTGGCCTCACTCCCAAGTAAACACGATAATGCATTACACATACGTTTATTTAAAAACAAATTCGGCTTCCGTAAAGTTCTTGGTTAAGTCAGGGTGCAGAGCCTGCAGCAATTAAGGAGATCGTTCAAAGTGTTTCGACGTATTCGGGAAGGGGGTACAACACTAGCAAGATGATGGTGATACAAAAAAATTGCGCCCGGTGTCCGTCGTCTTTAAGGTTACTTGTAAAAAGATTTACTCGATGCTTCATGGGATAGGTGCGCACTTCAAGGACCTAAGTAGAGAAACAAAATTAAGCCAAGAGAATGTTTTAAATCGCATGAAACGTTTTATTGGCTACCTGTACGTCTACATGAAATGAAGTTTGTGACTGCTTTTTTTGGTATTTTTGGATTTAAACATTTACTTTTCTTCAAATTCCAGACGTATTGACTTTCGTGTATTGATTAGAGCCGCATTCGACAGACATGACGATCGCATTGATATTAGCAATGAGAAATCGGACGTGTACAAATCCGCGATCCTCGTGATACAAATTTCAAATACGTTCATGTATCTGGCAGATAAGACAGGTATTGGTCAGACAAGTCTACCACTCTGGAATTCCTCGAAGATTTGACCAATAACCACCGAGTGGAGACTGAGTTTACTCAACATTCGGCACTCTGGTTGCCAAGCAACTTCAATGCTGGGGGTTCAGCAGCTGCTCCACACTCCGAAGAGGCAGCCATTTTGTTATTTTCCCTAATTCAGACTCCACAAAAGCACGAACATCGGCATACAGAAGTCTCCAGGGGTAATCGATTAAAGCAGGCTCTACAAATGGGCCAAAATCTCACCACTAGACGGTTCGGCCTCGGTGTGCGGGTTGCGCAGCTCGAGGTGAGCGGACTGGAACATGAGAGGGTTGGGCTGGCTCGGCTGGTTATTCGTGGGACTGAGTGCGCCGCCGCCGACGTAGAGCGAGTGGTGCATGATGCCGTAGTTGGCGTCGCGTGGTGGCGGGGGTCGGGCGGGAATGGCGTAGTGCGGGGAAAATCCAGTGGGGGGTTGGTGGAGCGAGGGTCCTGGTGGTTGGCGGAAGGTGTTGAAGTAGGGGCCACCTAGCAGTAGGGCTGGCCGCTCATATCTGCAAAGGAGCATTAAAGGAAGTTTATGTGGTGATAATTGTAGCACAGTCAACACGACTCGTACAGATTCGCCGAGTGTGTTCAGGTTAGAAGTGATCGCAGTAAACTGTCATCAGAGTCGTAGGAACGAAAACACATTTAAACAGGTTTACCTAAAGCGTTTGGCTCCCATAACTCGACCTTGCCTTTTATTGGTCCACACACAGCCAATCACCTTTGTTCACGAGTAATTGACAAACACGAGGATAAACCATCGCTCAATGATCCTTCAAAGAAAGGTTGTGTTCACGCGGCCCTGTCATTTTAGCACCAACCTTATCAGTACCAGA